GAATACACAAAGCAAAATATTTAATAAATTTTAGTGGATGGACAAGAGCAATTAGCATAGCTTTCCCTCAAGTTAACTTCTGGCACTGTTGATGAATTACACTGACGCTTATTCGCTTCATATTTTGTAACAAACGCGCTAAAACTGCAACATAACAGCACTATATGCTTCTTGACAAAATGCAATAGTATTAAAAATTTAGCCCTGATGGCATTCATTCTTAGTGAACACGTAATTACAAAATATTTTGTAGTAACTATTGAATTTCGGCCGAAAACAGTGCACGGTTTAAAAAAGAATCATTCCAATGACGGTCCATTCTTGCGGTCCTGAAATCGCCACTATTTCCGGCCTCTCCAACGCAACTCGTTGTCCAGACGTAAATATGCAGCTTACGTACGAATACAATTCTGATCAAACAACACGTAGCCTTGGTGCGTATTTACAAATTGCAACCGAGCTCCGCCGTAGGGTATTTTATTTCCGCCGTAGTGTATTTCACTTGGGGGATTTTCTACCATACATCTGCCTGAGCTTAGGGTAATTACAATTTGTCGGCGACGTTCGAAAATGATGCACCTTTTTTTCGCAGTATAGGATATCGCATGTGCATATTTCTGCCTTTTTGGGTGCGCTTTATCGGTTTTTCGTGAGTAACTCGCGTAAAAACCGTCCGATCGCGACGAAACTTTCAATACCCCCGATTTTATCAGTTTTACACCTACCCTGAAAATTTCATGACCCTGACCCAAATGACCTTTGACCTGTAACCTATTTCTCGAGACCATGTTTGGCCCGAATCGCGATTCGGCGTATGTCGGCTCGCATTATCCGCGCGGTTGCAGTTTTCACGTGGTTTCAAGCGTTGAAACATGTGATATGATGCTGGTCCAGTGGTCGGCAGGTCATTCGGGGTCGTGCCCCCTTTTTGGGCGCCAGGCAGGGCCATTACCCCCACCTACCAGACCCCATTGCTGACACAACTAAGTTTACTGAAATTCCATACCGTCCTGGAACTCTTTGGTTATTTGTGCATTTCCAATGCATCAAATTTAAAACATGACACTTCCTCCACAAAACATTTAATGCCTATATCCCAGTAGCGGCGGAACACCTTCAATTAAGGGGGAGGGGGGAGCACTGCCGACTTTTGGTCCCATTCTTTCCATGCAACGCCCATAGGGCTGGGCTAATGTTAAAATGCAAAAATCAAAGGGTGCACGGTGCCCCGGTGCCCTCCCCGTTCCGCCGCCTATGCTATATCCCATTTAACCCTTGTACGTATAGGGGCGGCGGGTGGTTTTTCGTTAAAAAGCTCACGTAAAAGGCATTGGACCACGACCAAATTGTACCCTCGAGCCCATCATTTTTTTTTTCCCACCAGCCCGGAAAATATCATGACCTGAGACCTGTTTTACCAACAGAAAAATAACCTCCTGCCGGAATTTTTGCCTCAAGACCGCTTCACATACGGAGCGTAAACGCGATGGGCTCGTAAACGGATAGGGCTTTACCGTTTATGCTCCATATGTGAAACGATCTTTAGGCAAAAATTCCGGCAGGCGGCTATTTTTCTGTTGGTAAAACTGGCCTCTGGACCCATAATGACCGTTGGCTTATGAGCTTTTTCTGGAGATCATCTTGAGCCATAAAATCTCACTTCAAGAAGTTATAGCGGGTCCCGATTTTCTCGACACTTATCATTGCCCTCTTGAATGAGACGGAATGACCAGGGACCTTAAAAATGGGCAGCAGCGGCTTCCTATGGTCACGGGTAGCACGCTCGTCTTTTTTATGCACAGCTCCATATCAGAGTCCGAGAGGCCGCGGGGGTCCGATCGACTCCTCCCCCTTACGTTAGCGGCTGTTGAAACGCCAACAGACGGGCGACGGTTAAAAGTTGCAGCTGCTTTTGAACGACTGTACGGAGGGGTGAGATGGTGAGGCGAGCAGGTACGTGAAAATTGGTATCTAATCAATGTGTGCTGTGCCTTTGACCTGGGCTAATCTTTGAACCCGGGGATGCAACAGTCACGATGGCTCCATCACTGGAGCTACAAACTCTAAAAAGATAGGCTTTCTCAGAATCCCTCATTACCCCCACCGAAAGGGCTCCATTACCCCCAAAGGGGGCATGCCCCACCATTTGCCGACCCCTGTGCTGGTCCCATGCATTAGGGTGGGTGTCAAGGTCACCTGAAGGTCAGGTCAGCTCAATGACCTTTGATGACCTCGGTTCACTTTTTCGAGTTTTACATGTTTCTAGGCTAGTTTTTGGAGCTGATTTCGAATTTAGCAACCATTTGAACATCACAGCGGGTGTAACGTAATTATCCAGACACCTTTCTTCCCGCTGTAAAAGCAAAACAATCTGGTACTTTTTCTTTTAACTGAGCTTGTAGCCACCTTTCATAAAAACACAGTTTACTCACCTCGTTGGTTTCTGCATATCTTTGGAGTGGTTTCAAAGGACAGTCAGAGAGGAAATGAGGAACCCACACAGTGGCGAATGTTCTGGAGCATTTCAGCCAATGGATTCTCCAGCACACTGGCTTTGATGCGGACCAACGCCGTCTAAACCTGTGCCTGCGGTTGAGCAGTGCTTATGGCGGGTGGCTCTTCATACACCTCCTGCAGCCTGCTGAACAAGAGCCCACAGGTTTTCGATTGAATTGGGATCGCGACTTTTTCCAAGTCATAAGCGTTAGCCCAGAATGATTGAAGGTTCTATCGGCATCACTTCCCGTTCTTTTAGGGACTTTTAAGTAGCGCGCCGCCACGCATGAAGACAGCGTGGCTTGAATGAGGCATCAGTGCGCGTTCAGAAACCGTGCCCTCCTATGCCGTCTGGTTGAGCGCCTCAAATCATGCTCCACCACCTTCCCTGGAAAAGCTCCACCCTTGCCTATGGGGCAAAATATAAGGGACAAAAACACAAAACAAGACAGATAAATCATAAAAACAAAGCAAAATTAACTCATTGCCTAATGAAATTCAGACTGGAGCAAAAACATAGGTAATAGGTTATGTCAAATTAGAATGAAAGATTAAAATCAACCTGACCAGGCCTTACGGTCCGACCGGGTCCTAACCACCTTACTTCGCCTAACTTGACCCAGTTCAACCTAGCCTACCACAACACCTGCAGAGTGCAGAGGTATGTACCTTCCTGGAAAAACGACGCCCAGGGAGATGACTGTCCAACTTATTGAAATACTACCATGATTGCTTGTCAAAATGTGTGTCATCATGCCCTTGTTTGACAAGTGATGTATAGTAAATGTGATATTCAATAATTACTCCTGACTGTTGACTGTTGAGTTATCAAAATATTCAAATAATCAGGGTACAATCCTGTGCATAGTGCACACTAATCATGTTGTTTTTGTGTAGGCCCTCTGCACATTGTTGTGTGCACTGCTATGTGCACCTAAGTAAAAAAGTGACTGGTGGTACATGACAAAAGGTTGAGCAACTGTGAAGTTCATGCCCTTGGTCTTGCTGGTGCCAAATGCCTATAGCTAGGATCAGTGAGGGATGTAGACATGCTACATATATTGTGCATTGAAGATATTGGCACAAAGTTCATCCGTAATTACTATGCTTAACACCTAATGCAAGAAGCGACATAAATGCCCAGATGATAAAGCTCTCTGGTCAACATCACACAAATTTATTGACATACTTTGCAGGTACATATTTACATTCATGGTAAATACTTTCGATTTGATTCAGAAACTAGTTGCTAGTAAGCTTGCATTTTTGTAGGCACAACAACGACCATATATTAAATCATAAAAAGACCTTCTCATGGCAATCATCAATACCTTTCTACCTAACAAGTACCTTATACCTAGCTTCCATGCAATGATTCTAAAATTTGTCCGCAATCCATCTATATCTCAACTGACACAATGAATTTCAAATACCCTAACAAAACCTATAACTGTACATAAGAAGAATGCAATACTACAAGAATTGTGAATTTCTGAAGTTATTCTCACATGCTGAATGTTGAAACTCTACTTTTGTCGTCCATTTTCATGTTTGATTGAGCCATCATATAGAACTGTTTCCGTTCTACAGTCACAAGCTTTCCCACAAATCTTGAATTTTTACACATCATCTTGAACCATGCTCCAGTCTTTCCAACAAAGCAATTTTGATTTGTTGCAACAGCTTCAGATCATGATATGCTTGAGGTTTGTTACGTACCATTTGTCAGTCGTCAGACAAATCTCAACAAAATGTGTATCAATTCCCAAGCTAAGTAATTGATCATATCAGTATTTGCAGTTTCCACACAATGTTTCATAATACTTTTCTACACATGTTTATATAAAGAAACTCAAATAATCCACAAATTGTTATTGAAACACTCCCACTTCAAGAATTCACAGCAATAACAGTACAAGTTCAGAAGCAAACAAACATTGCGCCACATCTCGTATGAAACGCGCCATCGCCCTGAAGTTTCTACCACAGACGGTAGTTCAACCGCAGCCGTAGTGCGAAAACCCCTGCCCACCTTACCCCACGGCGGAGCTCGGTTGCAATTTGTAAATACGCAGCCTTGGTCTCGTTTACCCACCATTTACCTCCAGCTAGTCAAATGACGTCATTAGCTAAACTACCCTAGTTCCAGCCCTAGCTAGTTTTCTTTTCTTGACAAAAAAATATTGATTGCAATTTTTTAAAGGCATGAAGAGTTTTTACTGTTGACCTGATGTTTGATCAAAATAACTTTTTTTGAATACTTATTTGTATTCCTTGATCATATCTAGTCAAGGTTTTGATTGGTCGTTTGGACTGGAACGCACTGAGGTAATTTATTCAGCAAGAAATACGAAGGCAGGAAGATCACTTAGATAATTTACCATTTGTTGTCACGTCTCACAAGAAAGCCGTATATGTAGGTATATACATATAGGCCGTATCAGTATATATAGAACGTATATATCATATAGTCAGCGTATATATGATGATATAGTCGGCAGGAAAACCAAGAACGTGTAGACCTAAGGCTCTATATACTGTAGACCACTTTCTTTGCCTTGCTGTCACTCTGAGTCTGACTCGAACTTGGAAGATGTGCTCAAATTTCCTGAGAAGGGAGTGGTTGGGGGTGTAGAGTAGGTAAGGCCTGGGAAGTTGTTAAAAAGGAATATACCACCTTTCTTAAATTAGTTTTTTTGGAATGGATTAAAGATTTTTATGGTCAAAATAAGCTGAAAATGAATTAAAACCTTTTTAAGTATTAGGTTTTTTATGTTTCAACATAGGAAGAACTCTGCATAAAATAATGCTTGACGCCGAAGCTTATCACGCGCTGGTCAATCATATTGTTTAGTTCAAACCCACCCATGCTGCATTGGCTGTAAGCAGCTTGCTGATTGGCTGACGATGACGTGGCCACATTCCTCAATAAGACACATCCCTGACATGGATGAAGTACTCCTGGATAGGACACTCCCTATTCCCCAACACTAGCGCCGGCGACCAAGCGGCCGCCCTGGTGGCGGAGCTCCGAAACATCGGCGGCGAGTGCGCCGGCGGCCGCTGCACCGGCTTGCGTGCTAAAAACGCGGTAATGGAGGGCGAAATTAGCTAACTTTAGCTCATAAGACACAATTTCAGACACTTTAAACATAATTTTTAGTCCTTTCTTATCATTATTATGGCTCCATTTAGTCACTATCACATACGGAATCATTACCTGATGCCCATAAACTGAGCCGGTATTCTTGACTTGCCGATGCAATTTATCATCAAATATCATCGTTCCTCGGCAGTCAAACAAGTTCCTATTGATGATTTAATACAAATATCAACTTATTTTCATGTTATAGCATAAAATTTAGCTTTATTCTAACATTAGCTCTTCGGCTGTAATTACGACCCCTCACTTGTCAGCAGAATTTAAGCAACTTCTTAAATCAAAACTGGGAAAAGAATATTTCCATGACATTCCTCAATTCCTGTTCTACCAGGTTCACAAAACATTTCATCAAAATCGGTTATAGGTAAGTAATAAACGACAAAAGTATACCAAAAGACACGCTCCGCCCATAGCCCGCAATGCTAAAATGGCGCCAGCGCCCTCGCCGTCGGGAAATCCGCCGCCGCCGCCGGGTGGTCGGAAAATCGGCGGAGTGTCCCATCCAGGAATACCTAATCCATGTCCCTGATTAACCCGCGAGTTGCTGGGGGGCGTTAAACGCTCCCACTTTTTTGTCGCACTGTAGCATATAAACGGTGTGCACTGTGCGTAAGGAATTGATTGAAGTAAATTGTGACAGTTTTTAAAAAATATGTCGAATTTTTTTTTAGATATTGTGGTTTTAATGACGTGATGATTTCTGTTGACCTGAGGCCAGTTTTACCAACAGAAAAATAGCAGCCCGGCGCAATTTTTCTGTCAAAAACCAGCCGACGAGTTTCACCAACCAGGCGAAAAAATATCCGCCGGCGTGAAAAAATATCAGCCAGAAAAATAGCCAATGAGTTTCACCAACGGCAAATGCGGCATTAATGGAGTGTTATTTTGCGCCATTATTTGTAGAAAAACAGCCCAAAAAATAGACGGGCGACCCCGTCTATTTTTTCGATGTCGTGTTGGAACAATTGGCCTCATTTGTTACTAATTATCGTGATTTGCGCTTCCCAGTTGATATAATAATTTAGTATCATTCATGGCCAATTTGTAAAGCATCTGGGCTTCAAGATTAGAAGAGGAATACTGATGATATTGCGTAAAGAAAGAGCCTTTGTCACCAGGCAGGACCAAAAGGAACCAACAAGACTGGTGTTTGGTGTTGTGGTGTTAGTTTTTTCGTTTTATATTATATTTTTGCTACAAGCACCCAACAGAAAGATGATAGCGCATTAACTAGTGGTCAGCTTACAAGTTCATTGCTCGCACGGAAGTGGAAAATAATGATGGAAGGTCATTTTTGAAAATTGAAGGTGCTTGAAGAAATGCTGGAAGGAGAGGCAGAGAGGGCAGGCTCATTGGACTCAAGGTTTTAAATAAATATGTCACTGTTTTCACATATTCAGCTACATTTGACATTGCAAGGCACCAGCTACTGATACTACTACTTTTGGGTGGAACTTACTTGAGCTGTGCGGAATAGGGAAGGTGCATTGACATTGCTAAGACCAAAATGGCAAGATTTTCAAGATAAATGACAATAAATTAAAAAAAAAAGAAATTGAATAGCATGAAAGAAATGTATAAAGGCTTGTTTTTGAAGCAAAACGTGCAAAGTTTGCGTGGGTGCGAACCCGAACAAACTTGCTGAATGCTGTCATAAGATTGTGCCACTGAACTCAGCAAGTCATGCTGCCAATATTGAAGGAAAAGAAAATAATAGTAATGTAAAATGTAAATGAATCCATAACTGTTGTGTGTGCTCTTTGCTGATATTGAATGCATGTGTATCTTGCATGCATGAGTCATGCAGGGTGTTAAAACTGGCTGTAAGTATTGTGAGTTAGTTTTGCTAAATTATTGAGGCACCAGGCAGATTGCGGCCGAAATGTTATTTGTTCACCTCAGCGCTGAAATTTCTGCACACAGAGTTTTCAGATCATGCGCTGAAATGTTCATGCAGCCCGTCCGTTACCATTACACTGGTCATGTTGACAGTGACAAGGATTTTTTCCCAGTCTCATGTTGAAATACAATAATAATTCACTTAGCTTGATTTTAGCTTATGTTTTTCATGCCAGTTCCTAGAATAAAGCAGCCAATATTTTCTGTCATGTGAGAAATAAAATGACAATATGCACAATTGCGGGCTGTGGCATGTTGTGAAGTTTTCCCTTGTTTATTGCTGAGGTTTTTCCAGTCTCTGCTGCAAAAACGGTGGTGAATCCACCGTCGTCCGACGGTTTCGATGACGCCAATCATCGGCGAGTGTTGCTGTGATGGCCGACCTGACTGAGCGCACAGCGGCAGCCGCCGTCGCCAATAACGACAGTGAGGACACCTCCGAGTCGGATGGAGACGCCGCCGCGGACGACTTCACCGTGCTGGACGAGGTGGAGCGCTCGAGCCGACAGGCCGTGCACCGCGTGCGCTGCCCGACTGGCTGGCGCACCCGCAGCCGATTGGCGACCGGCGGCCGGCGCCGGCCAATCTGCCGGCGCTCTGCCCCGAGCTGCGCGCCCGGCTGGCCGCCGAGGGCATCGAACAGGTGTTCCTGGTGCAGGTGACGGTGCTGCCCGAGCTGCTGGCGGCCGCAGAGTCGCCGCTGCCACCGGCCGACCTCTGCGTCTCGGCGCCGGCCGGCCGCGGTTAGACGCTGGCGTTCGTGCTGCCGCTGGTGCAGGCGCGGCGCCGCGGTGCGCCGGCCGCCGGGTGCGTGCGCTAGCTGTGCTACCCACACAGGCGCTGCCCGCTCAGGTGCCCGCCGTGTTCCGCCAGTACGACGCCGACACGCCGCTCTGCGTCCGGCTGCTGGGTGGAGACACAGTGGCACGAGGGGGGCACCAACTGGTGGCGGTGGGGCCGCGCGGCCCGGTCTCCCTGGCTGATCGTGGTGAGCACTCCCGGCTGGCTGATGGATCACATAACCAGCGCCGAGGGCTTCTCGCTAGCGCACCTGCGCTACCTGGTGATCGACGAAGCCGACCGGGTGATCGAGATGGCCGAGACGGGCTGACTGAAAGCGGTGGAGCGGGTGGCGGCGGCCACGGCCCGCCGCCCTGCATCGCCGGCCGGCTGACGGCCGCCGCCGTCTGCGCGCCTCACCTGCCGCTGCAGAAGCTGCCGTTCTTGGCCACCCTGTCACAGAACCCGGAGGCCGGAGAAGCTGGAGCGAATGTCGCTGTTCCAGCCGCGACTGCTGGTGGCCGGCACGCAGTGTCCCAAAATCTGCCAGTTTGGGTGGGAAGGGGCATCCAAATCAAAATAATTTTCCGCTCCCACATCCAATTTTCCACAACAATTTCCACTCCCTATTCTACCAAAAGAGCATCTGCGCGTAACTTTTACCTACTCCATATTCGATTCAATAATCTTATAGGTAGGTAAAGCAGCTCCCACATCCTCCAAAATTCACAAATAAACTAATGATCTCTGTTTTCCCTCTTTCTCTGCTTTTCTGACTGACATTGTGACGAATATTCCCCTCTGACACCCAAGCCAAAATATAATTTTGGGACACTGCCGGCACGGCGGCCGCCGCCGTCGCACTGTCCGGTCAGTTCGTCGGCAGGTTCACCACGCCGGCCGAGCTGAGCGAGTCGTTCAACGTGGTGGCGCCGCAGCCGCTGAAGCCGCTGCTGATGCACAATTTGCTCCGACAGCCCGACTGGCGGCGCTCGCTCGTGTTGGTCAACTGGAACGAGGCGGCGCACCAGCTGGAGCTACCGCTGTCGGTGCTGGGCGCGCGCGAGGCCGAGTTCCCTGGGGCAGTGCCGGCGGGCCAGCGGCGGCGCGCGCTAGCTGAGATGGCCGCGCTGGTGTGCTCGAGGCTATGGCGCGCGTTATTGACGTGGACGCCGTGGACGCGGTCGTGTCGTACGACATCTCGGCGCTGTTGAAGGCACACTGCGTGCGTCGGACGGCGCGCGTCAGCCGGGCCGGCCAGGCGGTCACGCTAATGTTTGAGCGGCAGCGCAGCCATTTCCAGCGGCTGATGGCGCAGGCGGGCAAGGCGGACGGCCGGGTGCGGGAGACGCCGGTGCCGCTGTACGAGCTGCGCCAGTACGAGGCGACCTACGTCAGTGGATTTCCACACTAGCTTCTAGTTGATCGCTTTTTTCACCTTTTTATGCTCATCGCTCATGATTTATTTACATTTTAGAAATATTACAATGAATAGGTTGTCATCAGCCTAGAAAAGTTAAAGTAAGTAAGGCGTTTTTAGTTGCATAATGTATATTTGTTCATGAACACGGTTTTAACGTGTCATAAGTCATAACTCCCAAATACTTCGATATTAGACCCGAGTTTCGCAAACCAGTCGAAAGGCTTAGAGCGATCATTAGGTTGGGGCGTAGCCGGACGGCTCGACTGGGCGTGGAAGCCGGCGAAAAGGTGGTCACCACGCGATCATCATGTAAAGCGGTCTCCGTCGGACGATTGTGTCCGTGCGCAACGAATGATCTCGGCACACGTGGATGAGTTCGGCAGGACTCTCCACTGAGCGGTACTGGGCGCAGTCGAACGACGGTCGACGAAGCTAGCGCAGGTATTGCTACGAGCCGGACCAGTGTAGCGGGGCCGGAGCTTATATTGTTTGCTGTGTGGACTGTGGCGTTCCTTCGTCTTGACCGGGCCCGGCAAACGGGGCCTGCATATCAGCTGAAACCACCTAGCCGGGCAGCATGACCTCCACCTCGCCGAAGTGGGGCGAACGACCGCCCTCAGCCCTGCAATGACCGCGGTGCAGTTAATCTGGGTAGGTATCTTCCTGAGGTAAGACACTCGCCTTGGCACAAGGCTTTATATAGGCCTTGGCGAATCCTTAGCCCTCGGTCCTAGAAGTAGGTGTAATGCAGTGCGCGCGAAGCCGCCTCGCAGCACCGCAGTTCACTCGCTCGGCAGCGGAACTGTCCGTCCAGCTTCAGGTGGCGCCTCTGGGAACAATATTTGCCGCTTCTTCCCCACTCTTTTCACATCTAGGAAAGAGGTGCGACTCCCGGATCCGTCGGGAGCGGGTCCCATCTATCATAGTCCCCACCTCATAAAAGGTGGGAGTGGGGGTCCATACATTGCGTGCACGTTCGACACGATGATTTTCTACAAGGTGCGACTAAAAGCAGACAAAAAGGTAAATTGCAACTTGAAAGTATTGTAAAAATGAAATATAATAGGCTGACAGGAAAAAAGATCCTTCCTATCGTCACCTTCATAAATGACGTAGGTTTACAATTTGGTGGTCTTGTATTGGCAAGTTATTATGATCTATTTTGCGGTTACAACTATTAAAAATATATATAATGTTTTCCAATAATAATATTGCAAAGTATTTGTGCTATTTGCATTAAAAAACGCGCTTAAATTTAATTAAAACATGTTTTAAATCATTTATCAATCTCCTTGACCATTATCGATATAAAAATATCAGCTGACTGCCGGCGACAAATATTTCCGGCCGAAGTCGGCTGGAATTTTTTTGTTGGTGAAACTCGTGGCTGTGTGGCGTCTATTTTTTCGGCTGGATATTTTATTTCGGCGGCCGGCTGGTATTTTTTGGTAAAACTGGCCTCTGACCTCAGACCTGTGACCTCAAAATTCAACTTCAGCGTTGCGTTCTTTTGTTTGCCGCCTCATGCGTTTCACTGTGCCTATTGGTTCTCAAGCTATCGGCTGGGGGTGTTAAACGCCCCCCCCCGCTCGTTTGCATACCCCCTAGGGTGATCGTTATTCGTTGGGCCATAAAACTTCTGATTTGTGCTAGTCTCAGCTCAAGCTGTGAAACTGCTATTCCAGTTCTAAACCTCATGTTAAAAGTGAACTTTTTCCTATAACTTACACCTTCATAACAAATAACTTATTTTTGGTTTAGTCTAAAAAGTGTTTACAACAGAAGCTCATTACGCACTGACCAATAATATAATATTGTGTAGTTCAAAATCAACTGCATGCTGTTTGACATTTCGCCTCTGTCAGAGGTGGCTGCATCATTTGCATTCTTCCATAAGGCACCACATTCCTCCATAAGGGACTGTTTCATTAATGAAATCAATATATCTTTGGCTAGGGTGATCATTGAGGTATAATTTTTTGTAAGACAGCTTATTTTTTTAGTCATTTTTATTCAGGCTGGGTATATCTCTGGCAGTTTTAGAGATACTTTGTTGATTTTTAGCATGTGTGAGGCCAGTAAGGGATTCTGTTACATACCATTCGTTTTTTTACTAAATTTCAAAAATGTCTCAAGAAATCTAAATTCTGAGTTAGAACTGTGTCCCAAAAATTTGCCAGTTTGGGTGGGAAATGACTCCAAATCAAAATAATTTTCCGCTCCCACCTCCCACTTTCCACTTTCCAGAGCAATTTTTCACTCCCCTTTTTATTACAAATAAAGAGCATCTGTGGGTACCTTTTACCTCCCTCCATTTTCGATTCAATTATCTTATAAAGCAACTCCCACATCCTTCAACATTCACAAATACATTGTTGATCCCTGTTTTCCACTCTTTTTTGTGCCTTTCTGATTGGCATTTTTCCACTCTCAGCCCTCTTTCTAGTGACGAATATTCCCCTCTGACACCCAAGCTGAAATATAATTTTGGGATGCTGAGTTAGAAGGTCTCTAGATCTAGAGATTCTGATATTTTGGAAATTTGAGAAAATCATTTTGTCTGCTATGCTTTTTGTACCTATGGTGCAATTTTTTGACTCTAGGTTGAAAGTCTGATTTTTTCCAATTTTTCTCTGTGAAAACTTTTTCGACCAAAAATGGCCAAACATGATCCCAATTTGACCTCTATAACTCGTGACCTTAGGGCCCTGTTTCACCGATGATAGCAGCACGCTGCTATCCCTGCTACCTATCAGATTGCGCGAGCTGACGTAATGTGGTGACGCCACAGTAATGACGTTTCGTGTAATCCGTGAGCTTTTCATAGCTACGTTTGGAACAGAGTTGCTGTGTCGTTGAATGCGTTTGATTTGATCGCAGGGCCGTGAAGATGTTAGCAGCAATATTTGATGACATCACACAGTTTGATGACGCAACGGTTTGTTGATGTTTCCATGGAAACCCAATTAGACACGTGTGATAGCAGCGTGCTGCTATCACCGCTGAAACAGGGCCCGGATGACCTTAGATGATCCCCATCCCCCCCCCCCCCCCAGCGGGTCGCGGGCTAATACAGCTGAGCAGGCTGATCGGTCTGTAGCTGCCGGTCTCGTTTGGCGGTTTCCCGTTCTTGGGAATAGCGACTATTTCCGACGCCCTCCATGACGCAGGAACCTCCCCGGTACGCCAGCTTCAGTTTAACACTTCCAACGGGTGGGTTCGTTTCGTTAGGCTAAATGCTTTGATAACTCCTGATAGGTGGCTGACCAATTTCTGTCTACATTTTCAGGTGAGCATACATACGCCACAATGAGCGACATACAGACGTGGTTCAACAGCCTGCCGCAGTTCACTCGACTGTGGTTTGGCCTGACAGTTCTGTTCACACTTGTTGGCCGATTCGGACTGGTATCGGCATACTACTTAGCCCTGCTGTATGAACCTCTCTTTAAGCAGCTTCAGGTGAGGTCGCATATCTGGCTACACTGGCAGCCGTTTTTTTTTTTTGCCTGCGCATTGCTATTGCACATTGCACATGCTAGAATGACCCATTTTAATGCAACGGATTTAAGTAAACTCTTGTTAGTTTGCATTACACGCTGAGTTTTCATCCATGTGTGTATTCAATAGATTTGTATGTTAGTTGTGTGCCCATCTGATTATGCATTTGACATATTGACCGACCACTGACGGAGCGTTGTGCGTGCCCGCAGATCTGGCGGCCGGTGACGGCGCTGTTCTGGTACCCGCTCAGTCCACAGACCGGGTTCCACTTCCTGATCAACCTCTACTTCCTCTACAACTACTCACTGCGCCTCGAGACCGGTGAGCGCCGACCTTGGTCGCAGCACTGCCCAATGCCGATAGGGGGCACGTGTGCGAGGTCTAGCTGTGATGAGCCGGATGGCCGTCAGCTGAAGGGATGCTCCACTTTCTTTGGTGTCCTTGATGCTTGGATTTGTACAGTTCAAATAAATGTGTGCCGTTTTAGAAAACAATTTGCGGTAAGTTCGTGTTAACCGCAGAGCTTGTCCATTGTCCAATATCATATTGAAGAGACAATAATATTATCAGGAATGTTTCTGAAGGCAATTGATTTTATAAACTCGAAAGTGTTCAAGGGTTGCGTTTCTTTTGAGTTACGTGTATTTGTAGACGGTCTGATAAAACAGACAGCTATTTTCCCAGAATTGCAGTGCTTCTGACGCATACGTTTCATGTTCACCGATGGACGCTGCCGTTTCAGGTATTTTCGCCCGCAGTCCGGCCGACTACCTGTTCATGCTGCTGTTCAACTGGTTCTGCTCCGTCGTGGTCGGCCTGTTTATGAACTACCCGGTAAGCTGTCAATGGGCTAAGAAACAGTACTTCTGAAGTGCCGACATCGAAAATGATTCATTTATATCCCTCTTATCATGTGTTGACAGCGTCGTACCGCACGCATTTTCTGGCCACTGTTCCATGAAGCTTTCAGAACCGCATCGGTGTGCGGAAAATGTTAATTTTTGCACACCGATTGGTGGCTAATCTGCCTGGCTCGGTTTTTGGGCCGCTGCCAAGGTGTGCCCGCCCGCTGCGTGTGCCGTGTCCCCGCCCTGCCCTCTCCGCCTGGTCCCCTCTGGCGGTCCGCCCTGCCCGCTGGCATCTGACGGCCCGCCGCCCGGCCGGCAGATGCTGATGGACCCCATGGTTATCTCGGTGCTGTACGTGTGGTGCCAGCACAACCGCGACACCATCGTCAGCTTCTGGTTCGGCACCCAGTTCAAGGCCATGTACCTGCCCTGGGTGTTGATGCTCTTCAACCTCATAATCGCCGGAGGAGGTAGGGCTGCGTCACGTTCGCCAGCACGAGTGCTCTCCAAAACCTGACCTAACATGCCAGCAATGCATTTTTGTGACGCAACTGGGTAGGTGGTTTATGGAAGGACCAGTTACTGCATGACTTTAATGCTGAGATGATGTTGCAAAAAATCATCGCAGGCTCCTTTTGTTTTTGTCGTTTCCTGTCGGTTTCATAACAAAGTGGACTTAAAAGGCCTTGCTTTATGTTTTCCCGCGATTGAGGTCCTTATTTATAAAATGAAAGCGCAAGTTGATATTTTTAGTACGAGCATCGATCAAACGATAATGACCTGATCGAGAAAATGCTGCTTTGACTGATCTGTTGCACATACTGCGTGGTAAATCCATCTCATTTTAACTTGACGCGTTATTAATACCGAAGCTAAGTATAGAACTGTTTTGTTTTCCGTTTTTTTATCTTCATGCGTGGTGTGAAGCGAAAGGTGTAATAAAATTTAACTCGAATCGACGCCATGGCTCGTGAAGAGCACCGAAAGGTGTTTGTGCCTCCAACCTCCTACATCCACCCTGGTCGTTTTTTTTTTTAGAGGTCGTTAAAAAATATAAAGCTTTGCTTATCGTTAAAAGGAAAAACATAGAAGAGGCATTCAACACCTTGGGTTTTCCTATTAAATTCGGCTAGAATTAATCTTAATCTAACGGTTTTGCCTGCTCACCTAACAGTCAAGTTCAAATTCACTTGGGGAAATTCAACAAGACAGACGTTCAAATTTATTGGGCGTCGGTCGTTTTCTTTTGCGCTGGTCCGAATGGCCCCTGATTCCATCCTATGTCTGGTTGGACTCCGCCTGTGGTCGAGGCGGCCCCTGATTCCATCCTATGTCTGGTTTGACTCCGCCTGTGGTCGAGGCGGCCCGGCGCCGACCCCCGTCTGTAGCGGGGTCGGATGTGCCGGCTGGCCCGGCCGATAACGCCACAGATGATGACCTTACCGTCGTCGCCCGGGATACTCCGGGGGCGGGGGGGGGGCGGGGGAGACGGGCGCGGCGTGACTGGCTGGATACAGAGCGGTTGCCGGGGGTGTATTCCATTTACCCCGTTTGTCACGTGTCCAAATGCATTTTCTTGTAATGCAGTCGGTTCGCTACGACTATATGGCTGGTCGATGGCACCGGCTCAGTAGCGGATCTGGTCGAGTTGCTGTGTGGGTACCTAATGTTTTTAGCTAGTCACGGGTGCTGCATGTGAGCTGCGCCATTTTTGTCATATTGGAGGCGTTTTAATGGGTATAGGCCAGCGATTGCTAAGGCGGTCTTCTGCGTAGTTGTTAACCGGGCTTGGTGCTGTCCGCAACTGAAAACCTTGAACTTACTGCTTCTATATAAAAAACTCGATCCCATTCGCTACTATTTTCATTGAAATTCATTTAAAGGTGGCAATTTTTTAGGATCTGTTGGTGTTCTGAATGCAGCAACACGTTACATAGGCATTGGCACACGGTGTCTTATATTTCGCTCGTCGCCATAATTCCTTTGTTTGAGGAAGCTGCACGAAGTAAGGGAATTGATCACGGGGCCTGAAGGGTGTTCTCCGAGCAATGCTTCGCTACACACCTTGCTGAATGCCAATCGCCTTGTGAATATTGCTCTCAGTCTTGAACATTTTCTAGCCAGGTCGGCATTTCAGCCTTTTATCGTTTCTCTTTTATCGACTCATTTGTTGATGCGTGACGGCTGCGTTTTTTCAGGAGCGATGGAGCTGGCTGGCATTCTCATCGGTCACCTCTACTTCTTCCTTGTCTTCAAGTACCCTCAGGTGAGCTAAGTCTTGGTATTTTGCTTCACTTTCTTCTCCTTTTATTGGACCATTGTAAACATTAGTTACTGGCGTGCTATATTCGTCGTTCTACTCATAGGCGGCGGAACGGGGGGGGGGGAGAGCACCGGGGCACCGTGCCCCCCTTTGATTTTGACATTTTAACATTAGCCCTATGGGCGTTGCATGGAAAGAATGGGACCAAAGGTCGGCAGTGCCCCCCCCCCCCCTAAATTGAGGGTGTTCCGCCGCTACTGGTCCTACTCAAGTCTCTAATGCTTTATTTCATCGTCTACTCTAGTATATCGTCGATCGTTTGCGTAAAGCATGTTGTTGAGGCACTTACACGTTAAAATGTCTTTTTACAAAAGTTTTTGCGCCGTCACGTTCAGCTATGTCATGCACATTCTGCTGGACTGCTGGTGTTTTCGGGCAAGTTGGTGTCTGCGACTTATCGCCTCAGTAACTCACTGTTTTGCCTTGTCGAGTGCAGTCTCGCTGACCCTGACTGTGACCGGGCGGCTTTGGCAGGACTTTGGCGGGCCGACACTGCTGCGCACGCCCCAGTTCCTTTACAACTACCTGCCCAACATCTCGGGTGGAATGGGCGGGTTCGGCGCGCCCCCTCCGCGGCCGGGCGCCGCCAACCAGGCCGGCGGCGGCGGCGGCGGCGCGTTCCGCAACTGGGGCGCCGGCCACCGCCTGGGCCGCGAGTGAGGGTCGAGCGGGCCCGCTGCTCGTCACACCGGACGGCAGGGGCGCCGGGCGCCGGGACCGCCTGGCGGATGGCACGTCGCGGCGACCCAGGGTAGGTGGGACGGTACCGACCCGGTCTGCTGAGCACTGGGTGGGGCAGGCGGACGGAGAGGTGGCGGGCGCCGGCCTCCAGTCGGTGTAACACGCTCCGGCGGCCGGGGGTGACCTGGTGGTGGTCGGCCAGTGAGCACTGAGCATCCACCTACTGATGTGTGCAAGTGGGGCAGTGTGGAGGTCCTGAAGACGGGGACGGGGAGGAGGCGGGCACTGCGCGGCTGGGGAAATGCAGGATGTCTGTCCCCGCCAGGTCGGGTCGGTATTAACTAGCGTGCGGAGGTCAGAACGGCGGCAGATGGGCGGGTGACTCTTGAAGTGAGCTCCGGCGGTGACTTGGAGGGTGAGTCGCCGGGCGGTGAGACAGGGGAATGGCCCGGCCGCCAGTGAGTGGTGCGCTACGACCGGTCCTCCCGCCGCCGGTCCAAGCCCCGTCGGACCAGGCATGTCCAGCGCTGGCTCCGGCCAAACATGGCGACGAACCTGCTGTTTGTGCACACGTCTGGTTTCCAGACCAACATATAAACGTTGTTGTGTATTTTAGTTCGTTTTTATCGCACGATGCACGAGCGCTTACCCTAATATTGTCGTGTGTATGCTGCTTGCGGCTGTTTTGGTATGCCACAATAGGAAAAGTTCCGGTGATGAATCGTGACACGTCAAATTGGTGTTCAGTCGCGTTATATTTCTGATGTGATCTCCTCTGTGCGGGCAGGTGGACAGGTGTTTGTCGGTACTCGGCTCTCTCATATGTGCATATTCTGTCAACTAATATCGGACGGCATCCAGTTCCCCGATACTGTGACGTAGTCATGTTGCGTACGGCACCATCAAAAATTCATGTCTTTTTTCGGTTTAATGTGTAGAAGGATTTCTGAAAAAATGTGCATTTTTGCTCAAGGATTTGTCATCTAAGCAATTACGATCACTTGGATAAATTTGGCACATAATGCGTTGAATACATTGCGTTTCTCTTGCCTTGGGTAAAATTTGTGTGCTCGGGCTTAGCATTTGTTATTTTGTCAATATATGACGCATGGCTATATTGTGTGTGGAATATCCGCCTGTCAAGTTGAAAGTTGATTTGAGTTTGGGTGAAATTAATTTCAAGTCAATTTTCTGCATTTCCCCTTTGATTGGGTGAACCGGATTCTCCTTTCAGGATATTTGTTGTGTCGATCGCCCAGCTTGTTTGCCTAGCGTCATGTTTTAGCCAGAGTTCTAGTCAGGAAGACCGAAGTTGTCACTATCAGTTTTGATATTTTTTGTGTGTAATTGAAATAGCAAAATGGAGATGTTCTGTTTGGCGCAATGGCGGGTCCGGAAAGTCTGTCTTGGACGCTGTGGGCATTATAATAGTAAAGTAAACAGAGGATACCTACCCCCAAAAAAGTTTCTCCGAATTCCGAAAACTTATCGGATCTCGATTCCTTATGCACTGCTGTGCAGTTAAAACCAAACTTTTCCTTACAAAAGTTAAGTTTTAGCCTAATTGTCGAAAATCCACAATTTTTTGTCGATTTCCACCCCCCCCCCCCCGGGTCACCAGTGGTTGTCTTAGGGTGAAAGAAGATGCAGCAGGATCTTGCCATAAATAGAAGTAAGATAAGATACATGTTGTGTAGAAAACCAGAAGAGAACTGATTATTGAAGGATATAAACTGCACTTATTTAGGAACATTTCTTTGTTCTAATTTATTGGTTATCATTTAGTGGTTGCTTCCCTCTATCAGCTGTTCGAGATAGTGGTGGAAAAGAATTTTTCGCATAGTGGTGAAAAACGGCTTTGCAATCTTTCTTTGCGTTGCCCCGCGTTGACGGATTGTTTGGGCCCGTTTAGTTTTTATACGAAAATAAAGCAAAATGGCCCTCAATATCGCACGCCGTGGCATCTACACTTGCGCTCGCAGATACCTCAGTGTGTCAGCGACACAATGTGATAAAAGTAAGTGAATATGATTCATTGTTGCGTCCACTGCCTAACACATGAGCTCTGCTAATTTGAATTTATGAATGTATCAAAATATCTTGCATATTGATTGAATCAGGTACAAAATTTGAATTGACGCCAGTAGATATGTGCCTGTTCAATCAATCTTAAACTTGGTAAAGCTTCTCAGCGACGCCTGTTTCTACCTATAATGCACCGCAATAGTTTTTGCATCCCTATATCAATATGAACACGCATTGCTGGTTTTAACTGCTCAGTTGCCAGTTGTGGACAACCCAAGTTTTGATTTTGACTGCTTGACTCAATTGACTTTTGCATATTGACTTTTGACTCCTCCTCACTACTAGAAGCAGGGATGCGGAGCCGGAGTCGGAGCCGGAGCCGCCGGAGCCGGCATATTTTGCCCGGAGCCGGAGCCGGAGCCGGAGCCGTGAAACAATATAGCCCGGAGCCGGAGCCGGAGCCGGAGCCGCCAAAAAAGGGGGCGACTCCGGCTCCTTTTTATTTTTTGAAGAGGAAAAAAAATAATTGACCTAGTTCGGTTTGACAGTACAAGGCAGTAAAACATATGGTACTTACGTCATGGGCCATCAAGTGAATGAAAAAATCCGAATATCCCCAGTATCCCACAGTACGCAAACAACTTCCTGTTTGCTCTTCCCCCCCCCCCCCCACGTCTACTGCATCCCCAGAACATGAGGACCAGTCATCAGGTGACGGCCATTGTTTTCAAACCAGTGCAGTGGACTGCGACTCCCAGCACCGTCTCATCCCACACACCCCCCACCCCTCACCCCCCAATGCAGCCGAGACGGGTGTCAGCTTACGATGGTTCACTGAACTCCGATTCGCGGCGACTGCGTTTCCAATGCCATCGCTTCCTAGCCCTTTGTTCTGCCAGTTCTCTCCGAGGTGCGTTTGCGCGGGGACGCGGTGAGCCGGTCATGGCAAAGAGTAACGCGTATAACCAATCCAATTTTTCTTCCACCCGTATTTAATTGATTGCGTAGGGGATGTACTGAGTCGGAGCCGGAGCCGCCGGAGCCGGAGCCGCCGGAGCCGGACCATTTTACTCGGAGCCGGAGCCGGAGCCGGAGCCGCCATAACATTTCACCCGGAGCCGGAGCTGGAGCCGGAGCCGATTTTTTCTCCGGAGCCGGAGCCGGAGCCGGAGCCGTCTGAAATTTCCACGGCTCCGCATCCCTGACTAGAAGCCCCAAGGAATTCATAGCACTGATATCTACTTTACTTTTTACCATCATAGAAGTTCCTCGGAGGTGGTATGTGGCTTCTTTAGACTCACACTGGAAATAGTGCCACTGGCTCTGAACAATTTTTTGCTTGTTCTGATTGATGGCACCAATAAATAATAATTCTAAAAAAAATCTACTGGACTTGGGATGAACAGCAGTAGAAAATTGTCATGTTTTATCACATCTACATTAGTTTGCCATTAGGTCAATTACCTGATCAATTTGGTAATGAAAACCTGCAGGCTGCACCCTTTGCCTTGTAGTCAGAGATGCTATTAAATTGGCCAAAAACATGTGAAGTGAGTAGTGAGAAAATTAGTACTTTAAGTTGTACAAAAGTATTGCTGCTAAAGGTCCTAATTTATCAGGTTTTCATTACATGTTTTCATCCATTCAAGTTATCATTGCACTAAAACAACCTTATTGATATGACACATCACAAATGTAACAGCTCTTATTGCTCAACCCTGAAAAACTTTGAAGTCCTGTGATAGATGTTTTAGACAAAATGATTACATAACAGCCTAGCTGATCATGATTCCCCTGATAGTAGTGACCCTCTGTGCCTAAATGAAGACATAAGCATAAAGGACCACAGCACAAAGATGCTTACCTAAATGAAGTCACCAGAAATCATCCCAGAGGATATACACTCTGGTTATAAATCATCCCAGAAGATATAGGTACACACTCTGGCTATGCAATGTGTGTTTTTATACTATTTTATAGCCAGCAGGTTACTCATTGGTTGCACTTGTATAATTGACAATGGAATATAGGCAATAATGTTTTCAGATCTGGTCTTACTCATTACCCACGCATTAAGCTTGAAAATTTGATGAAACATGTGTCAAAGAGTATTTGGTTTAGTTAGGGAAAGGAAACAGAGCTGTTGGTTGAAAAGCCATCATAAATGTGGGTAGGTGCAGGGTAGAAAATTGTTGTAATTCATATTTTCAACTTTTCTGCAGTCTGATGTCATTAAAACAAATATACCTTTTCAAATCCTTTTATTTCATTTTTCCTGGCTTAGTATTGCTTATCTTCTTTTTGCTGAAACAAATTGCCTACACTCTAACTTTTTAGTAGAGAAGAGCTAGTGTCTGCTTTTTTACCTACATAACATGCTGTCTGACATAGTTGTCATGCACTTTCAGGAAACTGAAGTGTGTTTCTAGACTTATTGATTTTTTCTTGCATTGTTCCTTCAAAGTAGATGTTACCAATATCTTAAGTTGGTGATTTCATTTACCTACCTCTTTACTCCTTTTCCATACTCAATCTTCGAGTTACAAAAATGATATTTTCAGTGTAATAATGAATATTGTAGCAATACTCTTGTCCTCTCCTGCACAGTAATAAACTCAGTGACAACCCTGCCTTAACCATGATAGGCATGATCGGCCCTATCCATGCTGATCATCTGAGCCTGCTGTGTCCAGCTGTTGTCTGACTCGGCGCCTTTGCCCGCAGTGATGCCCGACCCGTTCGAACATGCCACCGGTATTGAGAAGCAGGAGATGCTCGCGCGACGGGCGGGAAACAACGTGAGTCACCAGCGCTGTGCGGCACGCGCTGGGGGGGGGGGGGAGGGCTCCTGCAGAATCATTGGGAGATCTAGTCACTCGGCAAAATTTGTCAGTGTAGAAGGGTTGCTTCGATATTTGCTCAGTATTTGTACGCCAGTTCTGTAATTTTCTTCATTCCCAAAGCGTTGTGTTTCATTGTTTTGTACACTCCGCGGTAGATACGTATGTGCTGGGCCTGCCTGTGCAGCCGGGCGCCGTCGCCCTGCGACTGACACCGTCACCGATCTCTCCGGCAGGACCCGTTCGACATGGGCCTGTACCACCGCGGCGTGGGTACCAAGGAGCAGCCCAACCTGATCCCGTCGCGCTTCCAGTGCCGCATCGTCGGCTGCGTCTGCGAGGAGGACGCCACCTGCGTCAACTACATGTGGCTCAAGGCCGGCGAGCCCAAGCGCTGCGAGTGCGGCCACTGGTTCAAGCTGGTCGAGGGCGCGCCGCTGCCCGCGCTGGAATAGGCCGCCGGGGCCGAGCCGACTGTGAGAGCGACCATGTGCGGCGTGCGAGCGAGATGAATAGTCTAATTACCTGTGAATCCGGCGCGGTGTTGCGGCGCGGCCCGCAGTGTCGGGTCCCGCTCGGGTGAGGAATATACACCACACACATATTGTGTACTCCGCTGTCTGTCGCCGTGTATTGGCACGGATGGATGATGCGTACGCTGCTAACGAATATCACTCACAAAACATGGGATGGGCTATCACGGGTCTCTAGCGTGCATCACGACGGCGGGTCGAGCACCAGGATCCGTTTCTGCAGAGTGCGGGGTGCCGGCGGGAACAGCATCTGCCGGGTGGCCGACTCGAGGCCGTCCAGTGCCGTCTGCACATGATGGAGCAGCGCCGGGTCCTCCTCTCTGCGCAGCAGCACCTTGAGTCGCCGGTACAGCGGCAGCAGGACGTCCTCCAGTACCTACCGGCGGGGGGTGGACGGGTCAGCAACAGTGCCACTCGCTAGACACGGCAAGGCATTCCCATTTCCTCGCAACTACGGACCAACCGGCTGACAACACCGACACGCTGACACGACACTGACAGTGACCGACGCAATGACACAACACTGACACAACTGACACTGACACACTGACATTGACCCTGGAGACCAGAAATAGCGCACCTTGAGAGCGTCGGCGCCGAGACCTTCGATGAGCTGGGCGACCACCAGGATGGCGGCGCGCCGCACCTCAACGGCAGGGTCCGTGTCCACCAGGGCAGACAGACAGCCAAACACCTGCGGGGGGTGGGGCGCTGGGTTACCGGCACCGAAAACCACCGCGTCACCGCCGTCCAAACACCAGAGCACACACAAGACATCGGGTTACCACGGCAGAGATGGTCAAACACCTGTATTGAAACGTGACGCCCGCCCTGCGTTCGGCATCTGGAAAATGAGGGATAATTATCCGGGATCACCGGTAATTATTTGGTCTTGCAGGAACCATCGATGCAATTAGTCACATTTTCATATTGTTTTTGCTTCACAAATGGCTCTTTTACTCGTTGTCATGTCCGCTGTGCACGGCGTCAGCCTAAAACACCGAATGATACCGGTGATCCCGGAAAATTATCCCTGATTATCCGCATGCCGAATGCACGCTCGGTTACCAGGGTAGACGGTCAAACGCGGGGCGGCAGAGGTGGACACAAGTAAAGGCTACTAATGACAGGCACAACACTGGGAGTTCCAGGGGTCAGGTAGCTGACTTATTAACGTCAACGGTCATTTGAGCTGAGCAATAGCGCCGCTTCCTTTGATCTTAGTGACGTCGCAACTCCGCTCCGGCCGTCCCTGACGTTAAAGGTAGTGTGCCACCTTTGAAAGATTTCCCATTTTATTTTTCCTAGGATAAGAAGCTTCTGTTTTTACCTAATATCGCAAAAAAAAATCAAAAATGGGCCTGGAATAGTGCCTTTTTCGCCTAAAAGTTTTTCGGTTTTTAGATATGTATAACAACTGTAGTGGGCTCACCTGCAAACAGGCGTCGGGCAACAATCGTGAATGCGGCGCACTTGTGACAATAAGCAAAGGTCATTATAGTGTTACGACCGCATATTTACGTCTGGACAACGAGTTGCGGGGAAAAGTGCTGATTGTGTTGCAGTTTTAGGAGCCGGTTATTAGGCTGGATTTTTGGGTTACTTTTTTGTTTCCGATTCATGTATTTCATAGTGTTTGGCTTTTGAATATTTTAGTTCTTTCAGATAAATATTACTTGCCTTACAACTTTTGTAAAAACGTTTCATTTTTTATAAGCCGACGTTCAGAGTCCTAAAAATAAATCAGCACTACAATCATTGTAAACAAACAAATGGAGCACCACTTGGCTCTGTTCCAAGGCCACTTTTTAGTTTATCTGGTGGTTTTCTTGCTCTTGTACGTCGTTTTGTTGGATGTTTTGAATCCCTTAAGATTGACTTATATCATATTTAAGAAGCATGTTGACTGAAAACAATCTGAAGTATCCAGGAGGCTGACAGAGTCACAGAGGTCCTGACTACTGAGCAATATCAATATCAAATTGAACAAGTTATGAAATTTTGGTTGATAAACGCAAGTTGATCGGGCTCATATATCAGCAAGAAAAAGTAAAATTAAAAGAGCTTATTGTCCAAAAACAAGCTATAATATTGCAGACCTTGGACTTGGAGCAATACTGAAGAGCACGCTGAGCAGGATCATGCCAAGGCAACTAAGGGAGCAGATGGACATGGTGCATCTCCCCAAACAGGAAATAATAGGAATGGGCCCCACCAATATTGATGCTGAAGATGTTGGTCGAGCTGTAGCAGCGCTAAGGAACAAAACAGCCCCTGGACCAGATCATCTAAACCCTGAACTATACAAGGCATTAGTGTCAACAACAGAAGGTCTAAACGCATTGACGCGATGTCTCCAGCAAGAATTAGAAAATAATACTAAGCCAGAAACATGGAAATCATCCAAGACAAAGATGGTACCAAAAACCAGAAAACCAGCGGCAAAAGACCTACGCCCAATCGCGCTGACCAGTGTCTCATATAAGCTCTTCATGAGTATCCTGAAAAACAAGATCGAAGAACACCTGAAAGAGAGTGATGAACTGCTTGAGATACAGGCTGGCTTCACGAAGGGTGGAAGAGTAGAGGATAACCTGTTTCTGCTCCGCTACTGTGTCGAGGACAGCTTTGCTAGGAAAAAGCCGCTATATTTGACAGCAATCGACTATAAGAAGGCATTTGATTCCGTCAACAGAGCCAAAATGATAGAGGCTATGAAGACATATAAGATAGACTCACGCATCATCGAAGCCACTGCCCAAGTCTACCAAGGTGACTCGACAACCATCAAGCTCAATGACAAGACACAAGCAACTATTGAAGTCACATCAGGAATAAGGCAGGGGTGTAACGGTTCTACCACAAGCTTCAAGATAGTAACCTACATCATCGCCAAAACCTTAATGGAGACAAGAATGGGCTTCAAGAACGACAATTTCTACATTCCAGTACTATTCTTCGCTGATGATGGCCTTGTGTTATCACAGACCCTTACTGAGACAGAATGTTTACTGGAGATTCTGGCGGACATCAGCAACACATTTGGCCTACAAATTAACAGGGACAAGAGCGCAGTGATCGTATTCAACAGCAAGGACCAACCGAAAGACATTGCAAACATCCCTGTAGTCAACAAGATTAAGTACTTGGGAGTTACGGTAATCAACAAGAGGAAACTGTTTAAAGCCCATATAAAGGAGATGTACCAGAAAGCCCAGAAAATGGCCAATATGACATATGGCATAACACAAAGATGCTGCAACAAGCTGATGATCGGCAAATGTTACTGGAAGTGTCTGGCACTCCCCTCCTTTCTCCATGGAGCAAGCATTCTTAGCCTTACAGAAACAGACATTAAAAAGCTCCAGATATGTGAAAATGGAGTATACAGACAGATGCTGGGAGCACCGAGGTATTCGCCCATCTGTACACTCAGAGGTGAGGTGGGAGCCTCCCTCATGAAAACTAGAGTGATGGAGAGACACCTACAGTACCTAAGAGGGATAATTCAAGGAAGTAATGACCTGATAAGAAGAGTAGTACACGTAGAACTCGAGAAAAAGAAGAGCATATGGGCAAAAACTACAAAACAATACTTAGACGCCATTGGTTCGAAATATGCAGAACTGGAGACAATGACTAAAACTACACTGAAGAAACGTATAAAGGATTGGGATGACAGACAGTGGAAAGAAGAACTCGAAGCTAAGACCAGCATAGCCATATACCGGTCAGGCAAGGAAACGATAAAGGAAGACCCGATATACGACAACACACCGTCCTCAGTAATCCTCTTCCGAGCCAGGACCAACACTCTACCACTACGAGCCAGAAGAAGACATGTAGAGGAAGACACAACTTGTGTGCTCTGCGGACAAGAGGAAGAAAACGAAGTCCATTTCATGCTCGAATGTACCAAGCTAACAGAAGAAAGACTACGAATCCTAGCTCTTCTGAGACCGCACGTAGGAAAACCCAACGAGGTACTAAAGGCATTCCTCTTCAACGATGACAGAGAAGAGATGGAGCACAACAAGGACGGACTCTACCGGCTCTGGAGGCTGAGAAGAAAACTGGTGACAGAGGCGGGTGACGAGGAAAGGGCTTAACCACCATCCTAAGCTTATCCCATTGAAGCCCTCCCACCCGACCTGTGTTTATAGGGCTACCGATGCAAAGGTGACAGCCCGACTACCTCATCAGCATCATCAGCATCATCAGCCAGAAAATGTTGACTGATGAGCGCATATTGATGTATTGGTATGAATATTGAATGATAACTTACAACAGCAAAATAAATTAGTGCTAACTATCAAGTTAAAATCTAGAATGAATGGACTTGGGCAGTTTTACTATGCTTAGATGCTATGCAGATTGTAATGTGCATCAGGATCAGGTACTCAGTGTCTGGCAAATGAAACATGCGATCATTCCATTGCTACTGGAGGAGAAAGCTTGGATCACTAAATCCACTTTATGTTGATTTTGATGTTAAAGGGACCCTCCCACCTTCAAAAAAGTTAATGAACTGGCATAAAAGTGATGTAGCGTGAATCACAAAGAGCGAAAATGAACATCTACCAAATTTTACCGGAAAATGTTCACCCGTTTTCGAGATATAAGACTTTTATTTTTGTTTACTTTTTGGGAACTCCGCTGTTTCTATGACGTCACGTAAAGGTTTTCTTTACGTCGGCATTTGGAAGCAATAGTTTGGTATCAAAGTGCGACAAATATTGCGCGAATGATGCGTTTATCTTATCAAGGTCAATATATGATGGCCAATAAAGGATTCCAGGACAATCTTCTTATGGCATTTCTTCGTATCGCAATTCTTCGTCTGCAAATCTTCGTCAGGGCATTTATTCGTATCCCATTACTTTGTCTCGCATCAGGGTATATGAAAATCGGCTCGCATTTCTTCTTCAACGCAAATACCTATATGCAAAAGTAAGCATTGAGGGACAAATAAATGCACCGACGAAGATTTGTAGACGAAGAAATGCGGACGAAAAATTGTGCTACGAAGAAATGTCATGCGAGGATTCGTTCGGGTACCATGACATTTATGTGATTTC